TGAAGACACTTGGGTGCTCCAGGATCCTAGAACTTATTTAGCCAACAGTTAGAAACCAAGCAGTATAAATACTCCTCTCATTACCTATTATAGGATTTTTAATTAGTGACAAGCTTTTTCCCCTCAAGTAATATTTGTAGGTTATTGGCAGAATAAAGAAGTGTGATGAACCTACACCTTCTCCAGTGTTAAACCATGTACCAAGCATTGTCTGCAGATGATAGACAGTAAGTTGTGAATTAGTTCAATAATTGGAGTTATTGTGTAACACTCATTGCTTCAGTTTTTAAATAATTAAACAGGTCTGAGATAGTATGAAGGCAGGGCAGGGGAAAAACAAGAGTTACTGCTCAACAGACAACAATGCAAAACAAGAGTTTACTTTGAGTCTCCCTACTGAAACAGCTCTTGATAACTACATTGCATTGCACAAAACAGAAACACTAAAAGAAGTAGTAGAAGGAAGGTGATAGCTCTTACCTTCCTCTGAGAAGAAACACAGCTTTGCCCAGAAGCCTCTTGAAGAGGTAATGACTCCTGAGACTAGCTTTTTATAGAGCAAGTGCTCATGCTAACAAGCCATCACAGTTGAACTCAATTAGCTGTGCTTGAGTACCAGGTCAAAGTAGATGCTTTATGTAGCACTTAACTAGATGTAGCATAAAGGAAAGAAAATGGGTCTTTCCTCTCCTGCTTTTGTAAATGCTGTTTCTTGTTAAGCCTTATGTTCTGCTGTCTTTTAGTGGGCTGCGTATCCCTGTTGTAGTGTTAGAGCTGGGCCATCTAGCACCTGTTTTTCAAGGGCTGTACTACCAAAGAAGCTGTCCTTTACTCGCCGGCTGCAGAAAGGTGACATAGGCACCAGCTGTGCAGCACTGTCACGTAGGACATCGGGAAACCACATGCACTTTCTTCCTGAGCTTTTTCTCTCCCTGTTGGCATCAATGAGTTTGTCCCCACTCATGTTTCTTGGTGACCATTAACAGGACTTGTACTCCTGTATACTGGACAGTGCTGGATTACGGATTGATAGCTGCTTTGGGGGCTGCCGGTGGGCAAGGGTTGCTTTTTAAGTGTCAGGAACTTATCAATGTATCTTTTAGGTTTTCTAGAAACTTTTTCAGGACTGAAATGTGACGCAGGAGCTCTGCCCCTAATTGAAGTGGGAAAGCTGTGAAGCTTAACAAATGTCTTTCCTCCTTGCGTTGCACTGGAGGTAATGTAGGAACACGGTCTTGTAAGTTCAGTTGCTGCAATCTTAAGGCTAGGCCAACTCTTGAGAGAGCTTAGCATGTTATCTGGTCTGCAATAACCTCACATTTCCTGGAGTTGCTTGTCTCAGGGGTAGAGCTGAGTGCATTTTTCAGAAATAGCTGTGTTTCTAGGGCTATTAAAAGCTTTGGTTCATAACCTGTTTGTATATGGAGTGATCTATAGCTTGAGCTATGGAAATACAACCAGCACAGAGGCAGCAGTGAGGGAGGTGAATTTTAGGTATGGAATACAGGAACATCTTTATCATGTTCTATGTCAAGACTTGCTGTATCACAACTTAATGGCAAACAATCGCTATAAAGTTGCTACTTAAAGATGTGACCAAAAGTATATCCCAGTTCAGTAGGAATAAAAGGAAGTAAAGTCACATTGCAAAGAGGATTTGGCAAGTAAGTTACCGTACTCCCATGCAGTATTACATAAACGTGGGCATGGGAGACCTTGG